GAAGTCCACACAGCTGAAACTGGCCAAGTTTGAGAAACACTGGTTTAGATCTTAGAATAGAAATCCATTTCATTTCTCTGCTTCTGGAGAAAACTCCATTCAGATCACTGTCTGGCTGCCTTTTAATACAACTTGAATGTTGTCTCTTTCTAAAGGAACCAGGCAGAGCAATTCTACTCGGAGTCCATATCCTCGACTCCCCGTCTCTAATTTGGAGCCTTTCTGGCTCTTTTTCCTTGCCCGATTCCTTTTCCAGTGTGTCGTTTACGATCATGACTCCAGCGGGAAGCATGACTACATTGGGGAGTTCAGCACATCTTTCCAAGAGATGCTGCGGGCTTCTGCTGGAGAAGAGGTAATGGAGAACTGGAGGAGTGGGGTGGACTGCAAAGACCAAAATCAGCTTCTGTAAAAACAGGGGGTCCCAAGGGGTCCCACCTGGGTCAACTCCAAACACAGCACAGCTATAATTTTTAATGCCGTCTTGATGCTGCAGACAAGCAGTTTTCCTCCATTTAATTTTTTTTAAATGGAAACACAGCACAGCTATAATTTTTAATGCCGTCTTGATGCTGCAGACAAGCAGTTTTCCTCCATTTAATTTTTTTTAAATGGAAACACAGCACAGCTATAATTTTTAATGCCGTCTTGATGCTGCAGACAAGCAGTTTTCCTCCATTTAATTTTTTTTAAATGGAAACACAGCACAGCTATAATTTTTAATGCCGTCTTGATGCTGCAGACAAGCAGTTTTCCTCCATTTAATTTTTTTTAAATGGAAACACAGCACAGCTATAATTTTTAATGCCGTCTTGATGCTGCAGACAAGCAGTTTTCCTCCATTTAATTTTTTTTAAATGGAAACACAGCACAGCTATAATTTTTAATGCCGTCTTGATGCTGCAGACAAGCAGTTTTCCTCCATTTAATTTTTTTTAAATGGAAACACAGCACAGCTATAATTTTTAATGCCGTCTTGATGCTGCAGACAAGCAGTTTTCCTCCATTTAATTTTTTTTAAATGGAAACACAGCACAGCTATAATTTTTAATGCCGTCTTGATGCTGCAGACAAGCAGTTTTCCTCCATTTAATTTTTTTTAAATGGAAACACAGCACAGCTATAATTTTTAATGCCGTCTTGATGCTGCAGACAAGCAGTTTTCCTCCATTTAATTTTTTTTAAATGGAAACACAGCACAGCTATAATTTTTAATGCCGTCTTGATGCTGCAGACAAGCAGTTTTCCTCCATTTAATTTTTTTTAAATGGAAACACAGCACAGCTATAATTTTTAATGCCGTCTTGATGCTGCAGACAAGCAGTTTTCCTCCATTTAATTTTTTTTAAATGGAAACACAGCACAGCTATAATTTTTAATGCCGTCTTGATGCTGCAGACAAGCAGTTTTCCTCCATTTAATTTTTTTTAAATGGAAACACAGCACAGCTATAATTTTTAATGCCGTCTTGATGCTGCAGACAAGCAGTTTTCCTCCATTTAATTTTTTTTAAATGGATTCCCCAGCCAGCATGGCTGGCTGGGGAATTCTGGGAGTTGAAGTCCACACAGCTTCAACTTGCCAAGTTTGAGAAACACTGGTTTGGATTTTAGAATGGGCTTAAGTTACAGGAAGGCAGATTGCATTGAAAATTAGGAAAAACTTGCTTTGGGAAACGGGAGAGAAACAGAAAGGATGCCTTTGAAAAAAGGACAGCATTGGACCAGGATAAGCTGCTCCCGTTTGGGAAAAGTGATGGATAGCTTAGAGTTTGAGGAATGCATCCTTCTGAGGACCGAGGGGAAATAAGGACACAGCAAGGGAGGGCTGGGAAATTGTCCGAGAGCCAGGAAAAAAACTCCCATGTTAGTCTGCGGTCCAACGCTTCCATAGACCTCAGTTTGAGATGGATGCGGTGTGGCCTTGAGGATGTGGGAAGATGAGATTCCACACACACACACATACGCACACGCACCCTTGAGGTTGTGTGAACCCAATCAGAAAGCCCCGTTTCATCCAGAAGGTTCCTGCTGAGGTGGGAACACATCTGTTTTGTGTGCAGAAGCCCTGTAGCAGATGGTCTGCCTTCTGCCTGAGACCACCACTCAGGCAGTGGGTGGTGTGTTGGTGGTGCTGGTGTGGAAAATTTGGGTGTCCAAAGGAGAAAGTTAAAGAACCTGAAGATGGCTAACAGTCCCACCACCCTTCCCCTTCTTCTTCTTCTTCTTCTTCTTCTTCTTCTTCTTCTTCTTCTTCTTCTTCTTCTTCTTCT